TTTTTTTTTTTTTTTTGAGACAGAGTCTTGCTCTGTCGCCCAGGCTGGAGTGCAGTGGTGCAATCTCGGTTCACTGCAACCTCCACCTCCCGGGTTTAAGCAATTCTCATGCCTCACCCTCCAGTGTAGTTGGGACTGCAGGCACGTACAACCATGCCTGGCTAATTTTTGTATTTGTAGTAGAGACAGAGTTTTGCTGTGTTGCCCAGGCTGGTCTCGATCTACTGGCCTCAAGTGATCTACCACCCTCAGCTTCCGAAAATGCTGGGATTATGGGTGTGAGCCACCACACCTGGCCAGGAGTCTTTCTTCTTATCAGTTTTATACAAACAACAACAAACTCCCTTACCCAATAGTATTACTAAAAGGACTAGACGCATTAAGGTTTGAGGACATTCCTAGCACAATGCCGGACACTTTATGACCTTTTTTACACATGAGAACAAGCCCACTGAAAATAAAACAAAAACAAACAAAGAAAAGCAAAACAGACTCTGTAAATAGAAAATTCACTTGCTACTTAATAGCCAGGTCTCTCAACCTGAGGTTCATTGGACTGCTTTGTCTCTAGAGAGGCTTCAGGTAGTCTGTGAATCCTTTGATTTATAATCAAAATAGTGGAGGTGGGGGAAAGATGTACATGAAAATTTTCTTAGAGTCCATCTCTCTCATCAGCGACTCCAAGAATTTCTAGACTCAAGAGAGTTTAGAAACCATTGCCTTATACTGATAATGTTGTTGTTAGTAACAATGATAACATAATATGAAAATTCCCTCCTTCATACCTACCATACCCTCACAAATTCACCAAACAACAACAAGAACAAACAAATAAACAAAATAAAAACAATATTTGGTAATTTGATATCGGTACTGACAATTCCCTGATGATTTTAAGTGTAAAGGAAGGTATATAGCACACAGGTGATCCACTACTTGTCCACCATCCCTTGGATACACTCGCCTGGTTGATGTATTCTAGTTTCTCCATTTCTCATATTTGTTAATCCTCTTCTGCTAATTTCTGGGTATAATATAAATTAAAATGTTGATATATAGCTCTTTGGGCAAGGTGAAGATATAGAGTGTCTTGAATCCAGGTCCCTAGAATTTGTAGAGCAGCCTATAGTTTAAAAGTATTTACTGTGAGTTAGGGTAGAATTCATTTCCATTTTATAGATCAGAAAATAGAGTTATTAGGGGTTAGATGACTGGTCTAATTTTATCCAGCTGGTGTAGAGACAGGAGTTAAGCCTAAAAGTTCTGACTCAAAATTCTTGTTCCATCAACTGAGACAGCTTTTTCCCAAAGGAATGAAACCCAGCCCTCCCTTTCCACAATGCTCCATTTAAAAAAATTCCAACATCAAATACATGTCAATTAATGTGGCTCTGTATAGGGAGATTTTAAAGAATCTGAAAACAAACTAACCAAACAACTGTTTAACTTTCTCATCCTAGACATGACCAGAAGACCTTCTATTGAACAAAAACACTGCAATGATGTTATACTACATCCAGCTCTATCTTTGAAAGTAATCTCTTTGGGGTGGAGAGTTGTGGTGGAGAATCATATTTTCATACCCTCTTCCCCAATAACCTTGAAACACGTATTTTGAATGAGTTAGCCACCAAAAGAAAAAAATGTGCTTCCTCTTTTTTCTATTTGCTTTAGTTTATTAAGGTTTTCAATCAGCACTCTTCCTTATTCAAAACCCTTCTCTTACTTCCAGTCTTTTCCACCTAATACTGTTACTGGTCTCCCTAGGGCTATTTTTCTACTACGATCAAGTCTGCTATTTTTTTTTTTTTTTGACAGATAATCCTTCTAAACACAAACCAAATGGCATCAGTCTCTTGCTCAAAAACACTGATCATAATCTACTACAGAATACCCTTAATGAGCCCTTCTGTAATCTGGATTCAAAATTTTCAGTTTTGTCTCTTTCTGTTCTCTACACCAATGGTGATAAGTATGTGGAACATTTATCATTGTTTCCCCCAAGCTCACATATTCATTAGACATATAGTTGTTGAATACCTGCCACATGCCACGTTCACTGCAGGGTTATCACAGGCATGTGACCGTGACCTCATAGAGCTCATCATTTATAAAAGACAGACAATTAGAAAGAGAATAAATAAACTATAAGGATTACTAAGGAAACTGAGTGACTGTTGAGATTTAGAAAATGAGGATGGCGTTTGTGGTGGAAAAGAAGGGAATTATTTAAATAAGATGATTGGGGAAGGCAAAGGGGAGGATGTGACATTTTAAATAAGAGGAATTTGGGCCAGGCATGTTGGCTCATGCCTGTAATCCCAGCACTTTGGGAGGCTGAGGCAGGCGGATCACATGAGGCTAGGCATGTGAGAGAGCATGGCCAACATGGCAAAGTCCTTTCTCTACTAAAAATACAAAAATTAGCTGGGCGTGGTGGCATGCTCCTGTAGTCCTAGAGAGCTACTAGGGAGGCTGAGGTGGGAGGATCACTTGAACCCAGGAGGCGGAGGTTGCAGTGAGCAGAGAGAGCACCACTGCACTTCAGCCTGGGCAACAGGGCAAGACTCCATCTCAAAAAAATAATAAATAAATAAATAAATAAATAAATAAATAAATAAATAAATCTAAAAGGAAGTTACAAATTTAGGAACCAGTGTGTGTGAAGAGCCCAAGGTGGGAAAGAGTTTGCAAAAGTTGAAAGAGACTCTTCTGGATGGAGAGTAGGGAATTGAGACAGTCGCCTCCAGTGAGAATGAGTTCAACTCCTTCTGGTCCCTAAAGGCTAAGGGGACAGTTTGTTTTTTATCCAATGCAATGGAAAGTCAGTAAAGAATTTTAATCGGGGAAGTGCCACAATTCAATTAATAATTTTGAAAGACCAAGAAGGCATTGATAACCAAGACAATCCTCTGCCTTTACAGAGAATTCAAATTGTAACAGTATTGATCTTGAAAAGCACAGATATTATGGTATTTGTAAAAAGGCACCATACATTGTACAAATATGTATTTGTTTCAGATTTTATTCTAACAAAAACAAGTCTGGAAGATTTTAGAGGGTTCACTTCAGGACTGGAACTATATCAAGCATATCTTTTCTGGATCTAAGGTCTAGAGTACAGTACATGCAGACAAGGAAGTGCTTTCAGTCACAGCTTCAACTCTTTTGGCCGATCAGTTGTAAAAGTCTAGAGAGGGTATAATATAATGCAAATTTCAGAATATATTATAAAGCAAACCTAGTTTGACCTTCAGAGCATGAAAATACATGGCATACTAAGTGAATTTCATATATAAAACTACCTAACATCTAAGAAAATAATTCTAGACCAAAAATTTTATTTTAATATTTAGAGCAGATAATAGCCCCAGTGCAGCATAGGGTATAAGTTCATGTGTATTTCAAATTGTCCTCATCTTCCTGATTCTATGCTGATTTTATTTTCAAGAAAGAGAAAAGCCCCCCTACTTCCTTCCTATCACATTCCTGGAGAGTACCCCTAACTTGATCATTATAATAGACAATATTAATTTAATGTTTATTTCATGCCTGGGACTGTTCCAAGCACTTTATGTTATCTGACTTTCAAATGAGGACACTGAGGCTGAATGAGGTTAAATAATTGCAGAAAGTCATAAAACTACCAAAGGTTTGAGACAGGATTCAAATCCAGGTCTAACTCAAAAACCTGTGTTCCTACCTACTATGCTAGGGGGAGATGGGAAATAGTTTTTTAGAATTGTTCATGGGGAAGAAATCATTCTAACAACCTTAGGATTTCAGCTCCATACAAGAAGAAATGCTCAGCAAATGGTTCACAGCAGCAGCACTCGCAGGTTAAATATGAATCGCAGATGCCATTTCCAGTCTGTGGATATGAAAATTCAGTGACAGTAATAAAGATGGCTTTCTGTATGTCTTTATGAACTTTAACTGTACTTGAAGGCAATGTTAGACATCCTTAAGACATGGCAGGTTTTGGCAAAAGCTGTACTGTAGTTTCTTATCATGGAAGTCTAAGAGTTAAAAAAAAAACAAAGTGACTAGTCAAACAGTAAACATATGTGTTCTAAAAGTTGGGAGATAAATTTAAATAAAAATAGAAGAGAAAGAAGATGTAAGTTTCTAGTTGGTATTTTTTAGAAATATATGGAAAAATAAAAAAGATCTTAACACATAAACCAGAGTTCTCCAAAGAGGATAGGATACTTAGCACTGCTAGAATACAGGATGATTTTACAAGATAGCTGAATGAATATGTTCCCTATTGTGATAACTCCATCTTTACTATAATGTGTATTCAGAAAAATACTACATATATGTGTGTATATACGTATACATTTATACATACATGTATCACATTAAATCTGTGAATTCAGGACTATAACCCTTAATACAAGGTTCAATAAAAAGGTAATTTTATTTATGAAAAGAATCATTTAAAAATATGTAAATAGCAGTAGAGTAGTATGATGATACGCCAAAAATTGTGAAGATGGTATTTAAATAATTGATATTAACGAACAAATTTGAAACCTGCACCATAATACTCATTCCTAAATTAGTGAAAATGTTAGTTTAAAAAAAAATTAGGTCCTGTTCCATTCATTAAAATAAAATTTGACTTGCACACATCTTCAAGTAGATTTTGTAAGTAAACTAAGCAGACCCCTGAAATATTCAGAAGAGAAAGACCACAGCGTTCTCATCAATTCTGAGTAAGATCTCAGAGAGCCAGAATCAAGTCTCTGGTATGTTGTTTGTAGCCTAACACTAGAGATTCTTTTTTTAAATAAAAAGTCTGATGTAATATTTCATTTTTGACAAAAAGTGGAGTAGATCCTAGGAGAAAAGTATGGCAATTAGATCTTAAACAAACGTGTGCTCGAAGCAAGCTGAAACCTAACCAGAAAGCAGCACTGCCGTGTTAGGAGTCAGGGCTGTGTTTTCAGATGGCTAAGGCCCTTTAACATTGCCATTGACTTTCTTTCATGCAGGCCTGAATTGTCCTACCACTGAAGACACAGCATGAGGTAGCTGACCCATCCCTGAGACTGCTGTGTGGGCTGATGTCGACATCGCTGGCCTTGCTGCATGGATTCCACACTGTTTTTACCATTTACCCTCTAGTTCCTATGGCTCTCAATCAATAGCTTCTTTTTTGTACTGAAGCTTCTCTAAAGTGGACAAGGTTAAAAAGAGAAAGTGTACCTTTTCAGAGTCTAAAAGTGCTATTGTCCACCACATAGAACACGTGTCTGAGATTGCGGCTGTATATGATAGGATGTGGAGAAACTGGACAAAAAACAAAATCTGACAACACTTTACAAGAGTTACAAACACCAGGAATGCAGAGCACCGGCTTATCATCTATTGACTCTAGCATGACCAGCTCCAAATTTGCCTTGTGTCAATGCAGCACAGCCCCCAACTACCCCATAAGAAGGCAGACACGATGTGGAGATTCAGTCCTGTTCGGGTTGTTGTTTTCATGATTCTAACAGAGGATTTCACCCTGACTTAATTTCTTGAAACTTTTTTTGATCAAATTCCAGGTAGCTATAGCAATCCCAAACTCAGCCGATTGAATTTGAAGGTAATGCAAATAATCTTCTACAAGCTGTTGCAGTCCTGAAAGCAATGGTTTCCTACTAAGCACTGTGGACTGTTTACAACAGCCTAGTAAGCCTTTGATTAGCAGTCTGGAATCTCTGGTGGGTGCTGTACAGCTCTTGATATAAAATATCACCTACCCAATACAATTTGTTTGGAATCTAGCATGGGACTACTTGAGGCAGAAGTCATACTCTAAGGAAACACATTCAAAATTTGATTCCACATTTGTGTGATATGGTGAAGATGTTTCTGTAACCTTTAACTAGCTATATTCCTCTTAATTCAATCATCTTTTTTGATATACCAATTGGATCAGGGTCGGCCAAAAAGCTTACGGCAGCAGCTGCCATCCCTGTTTCTTAGGAGTAATTCATCAGAGGAGACACATGCTGCTGCTCACAGAAATAAATACCAAGAAACAACATCAGAGGTTCATCTTCCTTAGGAAGCTGCATGAAGATGGAAGGCACTGTTTTCTAAGTGGGGGTGGGGACTATGGAGACACAATGTCATTAAGAACCTAGTGGAATTAGAAAAAGAGGTATGTGATATAATAAAAAAAAATACATTCAAAATACATTCTCAGATTAAAATGGTTCAGACTATGTCTTGTTTCTTCTATAATAATACCTTGCAAGATACAAGGTTTTACATTTTTAAAATTTTTAATCTGAAGCCAGGCTACTTAGAATCCTGGCTTTGTCACTTAGTAGTAGTTGAACTTAGGCAACTGAATTCAGGATACCCAAGTTTCTTCTGTAAACCGGGGGGAAAAACTATAGGAACCTTATAGAACTGATGGGAAGATTAAATAAGTTAATGTATGTAGAAGACTAGAACAGTATCTGACCCACCATAGAAAAACGATAGTAACCCTGTAATCCCAGCACTTTGGGAGGCTGAGGTGGGCAGATAACTTGAGGCCAGAAATTTGAGATCAACTTGGCCAACATGGCAAAACCCTGTCTCTACTAAAAATACAAAAAAAAAAAAAAAATAGCTGGGTGTGGTGGTATATGCCTGTAATCCTAACTACTCGGGAGGCTAAGGCATGAGAACTGTTTGAACCCAGGAGGCAGAGGTTGCAGTGAGCCAAGATCACACCACTGCACTCTAACCTGGATGGACAGCAAAGTGAGATTTCATCTCAAAACAGAAAGAAAAAAAGAAGGAAAGCAAGCAAGCAAGAAAGGAAAGAAAGAAGGAAAGAAAGAGGGAAGGAAAGAAGGAAGGAAGGAAGGGAGGGAGGAAGGGAGGGAGGGAGGGAGGGAGGGAAAAGACTACAGTAATAGATGCTGTAATAGTAATAGATGGATTGTAATAGATGCTGTTGCTATTACTGTTAGGTTGGTGCAAAAGTAATTGTGGTTTTTGTCATTGCTTTTAAATGGCAAAAGCTGCAATTACTTTTACATCAACCTAATTTTACTATGTTTATCATAGTCTTCATGGTTATTGTCATTGTGTCATGGTCATCATCATCATCACATGTCATCTTTTTGAATTTCCACAGAAAAACCCTAAAGAGCCATAGCTGATGCATCCCATTATATATATATATATATATATATATATATATATATATATATGTAATTAAGGTCTTTCTGGTACAAAGACCTAAGACTTTCCAACAAGTTAGAGCAGGGTCAAACTAGAGTGCTGGGCACTTCACCAGCAATCAGAACTTGCTACAGGAGAACAGACTCCAACACCATTCAGTGCTGCTTTTTGAATACCCTTGTACCATTTTCTGGAGTCACTGGTTGTAAACTTTACATCCCCTCCATTTTCTCTTCCCCTTCTCCTGAAGTCTTTAATGGAATTGCTAGTGTTGCTAGTGTTGCAAGAAGTTGCAACCTATAATTTCCCTGACCCCTAGATGCTACTCACTATTCGTTTTACTAACATCTTTTGTATTGCAAAGCAGTTTATACATATTATCTCCACATTCACTGTCTAATTCTCTCAAATATTTTCCTACTCTAGGTGAATTGATTTGCTCATCTTCTTGCCATAGCTAGCCCCTCCCTGCTTTCTGTGAAGGTTCATTTGCACTCTCTCCCTCTCTCCTTCCCCTCTCTCTCTCCCTCCCTCCCTCTCTTTTCCTCTCAATCCCTTTCTCTCTCACTGCTATGGCTCTCCCTTCTTTCCCTCTATTTTTCTAAAGCATCGTCAAACTATCTGTCATTCTTTCTACTTCAAACAAGAAAAGATCTTACCTTGGTTGTCAGATCTTTACTTTTCCTGTGTCTTTTCATTAATTCACACACATTTTCCAGTTATCGGTAGTATCTTCAGCTCCCCTGATTCATCCTTAGATCCTACAATCTAGCACTTTTGTTTGTCAAGAGTATAAAGTGTTTTGCCTGAAAGTTACCAGAAATCCACTTGTTATTGTCTTCAATGTCCCTTTCTCAGCCACTCCTTCCCTTAATCTGTAGTGGTGACACTGGAACGAACCTCACCTCTTGCTGTGCACCCTTCCTTTGGATTTCACTGCATCTCTCCTTCCTGTTCTTCCTCCCAGCCATTCTCCATACTCCTTTGTCTCCTCTAATACTCACCTTCATTTTCTCACCCACATTTTTCTTCAATTAAAAAAAAAAATCATTCTAGAAAGACCTGTCTTTAAGCCCTATACACTACTCTTCCTGTATTTCCCATCTGGGCTATAAATCAGTCATTTGAAGCCTCTGTCTTCTTCCTAAAGCTTGTCACCTCCTCATGATTTCCTGATTTCTTCTCCTTCTCATGTGTGGCTCTCAAGAAGCATTAGGGATAGAGGAGACATTTAAAGTAAACAATTCCTGGGATTAAATGTTGGTTTTGTCATTTACCACATCACTCAAAAGCTTCCTAACATCTCTGAATTTTGGCTTATCATGCATAACATGGGAATTGCATGAGGAAACTACAAGTAAATAGAGTACCATTCCACCAAGGGGACCTGGGGAAGTGACCTCCTCTGCCTGCTTCCTACTCACACCCACCACACACACCACCCTTTTCCCAACCCAGACTTCCAGCATTGACATCATTTGGCTAGACTTGAATCCTCCCCAGCCCCATGGCCACATCCAGTCTGTTGTCAATTCCACCTTTCTAGAATCTCCTGCATTCTTCCCTTCCTTTGTGTTTCCTTCACCATCTCCAAAGCACAAACACTCATTGCTCATTACTTGATTGTCACAAGAATCTTCTAACAAGCTTTACTGCCTTCGATTTCTTCCAGAGCACACTCATTGCTCATCACTTGACTGTCACAGCAGTCTTCTAACTAGCCTTACTGTCTTCAATTTCTCCCATTTTTCAATCTACCGCAGACAGACTAACTAACACACTGCTTCAATTGATTACTTTCTCAAGGAAACTCAGCTAACAAGTGGCATACAGAAATTCAAGCCCAGATACTCTGCCTCTAAGTCTGTGCTCAGAACTGTAAGCCTGTACCATATTAGTATCAATGTTTGGCACTGAAATTCAACATTCTTCATGATCTGGCCCAAGGTACCTTTCCAAGTTTTCCATCCACCAGGCCTATATGCCAGGGGTTGATTTACTCATTCTTCCTGAAATAAGCTTTCTTTATCCTTTAGGATGCTTTCGCTGGCAGCAACCAAAAACACAAAGTGAGAACAACAAAACTCAAGTGGCTTAAACACTAAGAGGATTATTATCTTTTTATTATAACAAGCCCAGAGGTAAGAGAGTTCTGGAGATATTTAAGTATTTAACATCACCGCTTAACATCAAATATAGATCTCGGATTCCTTCCATCTTCTTGCTCTGCTATGTTCAACATGATTTCATGTGAGCTCCTTTCATGGTTGTAAGATGGTGCCACAGTTCCAGGAAGTACATACAGACATGACAACATCCAGTAAGGAAAACAAGAAAAGACCATATCTCCTCTGTGTATCATGCTTTTGAGTGAAGAATTTTTTCCCATACTCCTACCCTACGTCTACCTTCCCCAGCAGACTTCCCTTGACGTTTCGTTGACCAGAGCTATATTACCATCATCAGGTGATTTACAAACAAAAAGGAACATACATTTGGACAAATTCTTCAGCTTCCAAAGTTCTTGAGATACAACCTCAGGGAAAAGTTGTATACCCTAACTCAGTATACACATAAATACATTTTAGATGCATACATAAACTACAGATGAAAGTTTCGAAAATAGAATTTGGAATCCTTATGTGCAGTACATCCAGATATTTTCCATTCTATTTTATTCTTTATATTACTCAATTAATTTAACAAATTCTGATTCAAAGTACTACATTGGTCATTGATTTAGAATTTATTAATAGACTGCTTCCTGCACTTAAAAAAAAAAAAAACAAAAACACTGGTTTACAAATACCATTTGACCCAGCAATCCCATTACTGGGTATATACCCAAAGGATTGTAAATCATTCTACTATAAAGACACATGCACACATATGTTTATTGCAGCACTATTTACAATAGCAAAAACTTGGAACCAACCCAAATGCCCAGCAATTATAGACTGGATAAAGAAAATGTGGCACATACACACCATGGAATATTATGCAGCCATAAAAAAGACTGAGTTCATGTCCTTTGCAGGGACATAAATGAAGCTGGAAACCATAATTCTCAGCAAACTAACACAGGAACAGAAAACCAAGCACTGCATGTTCTCACTCATAAGTGGGAGTTGAACAATGAGAACACATGGACACAGGGAGGGGAACATCACACACTGGGACCTGTCAGGAGGTTGGGGGCAAGGAGAGGGAGAGAATTAAGACAAATACCTAATGCACGCGGGACTTAAAACGTAAACGACAAGTTGATAGGTGTGGCAAATCACCATGACACATATATACCTATGTACCAAACCTGCTCATTCTGGACGCATATCCCAGAACTTAAAGTAAAATAATTTTTTTAAAAAAAAAACTGGTTTATACTAATCAGAATGTACCCAAGTCATTTTGGACTCAAGAATACCATCTAGGTCAGTGTGAGAGAAGGGGAATTGGCTGTTTTGAAGACAATACTTACTCAGTTTTGTGTGTCTTAAATTATATATTTATCTTTTACCAATGTCTATGACACCTTTCACTCAATACTCAGTGGCTAAAACTGAGATGTTTCAAAACCAGGCTGTTTTGACTTATTGCTTTAAAAGCTGGAGTTTTTATAATTTCAAAAAATAAAAACTGATGTTCTTCAGTAGTTTGTAAGTCACAGAAAATAAATCAAGAACTTTTTAAAATTCAAGATCTAGTTTCTTTTGATGATATTAGTAGGGTAAAAGGTCATGAGAGTTCAATTAATTTACTTTAAAATGCTCCTTTTAAATGATGTCCAAAGAATAAATCATCAAAGATTAATCAGAAAAGACTGAGTCTCTCCCCCTTATTTAGAATGTCTAAGGATCTGGGAGCAGCTGGCCCCATCTCTGTTCTCTCTTTCTCTGATTCATCTTGTGGGTGACCCCAGGAAGAGGTCAGTCTGTGGCCCTAAATCACATAAGCCTGCACATGGAGCCTGCCATTTTCTCTCTGCAATTACCCCACCCTTGAGAACCTTGCTGAGCTAAGGCAAAGGTTTTAA